ACTGGCAAATTATAGGAACAACAGGAGAATGTTTCAATCAGATAAATTATGTAAGATCTGGATTAAATTCACTTGGCTTTCATGACTTTTAAACACTGGTTGAGGAGTAATAATACATTGCACCTTCCATTTGGAGAGCTCAGAGAGCTTAAATAGTGTTTACATGTGACTAAGAGCAGAGAAGGCGATAACCTAAGGAGACCAAGGGACAGGAAATGTGTGTAGGGACTGCTTGTAGGAACTGGACAAAGAACCCTGATGCACAGCCTGTCTTCTCCTGACTGGGAACACTGTCCATTGCAGTTCTATGCCTCTAAAGCTGAAAGAATACAGTGAAGAGAGAAGGAAATTTCAGGTGATCACAAGTAATAGGAACTCTGTTCCAAAGTAGACAGGTAACCCAAGAAAGGTGAATATGTATGAAGACAAAGACTGGAAAAGACACATAAGGAATTAGGAGGAAAACTGCAATTAGTAAGATAAGATTTTATCAAATGCCTTTGAAAATTACGAGTGACCAAACAGCAGCTACATTACTAATAACAGGGGATGACACAAGAGATATGACACTAGCCCTAAGTATGCAAGATCTGGATCTATGGATCTCATGTACCTCAGAGGCTGACTTTGATTTGGGTTAACGAAGAGCAGTGTCCAAAAAGGAGAGAATTGTGCCGGCAGATGGTTCATCCTCCTCCTCCTATTATTCCCTGTGCTTTTGGATTTGTACAGCACTATCTGGAACTGAAGAAGCTAATTAGTTAGATAGAGTGTATGTCCCAATGCAAGAGGAAGCGGGAAGACAGAATTATTTCATAGTATTTCAAACAGTAACCTCATTTCTAGGATTCTTATTTCTAAGAATTAGAAGGTAAAAGCTTTCGTGATGGGATGCTTGGAGATATACACACTTTGATCATTACCAGAAATGGTTTGTGTCAGTACAGCAGGTGGAACTTCCATCACTTTTGAAATACACAATATACTGAAAAATGCAAACATATTACAGGGAAAAACAAGATACACAGCTGAATACAGGGCAGCTCTCTGCAAAAGCTATTTCATACACAGTGTCACACAGCAATCAAGGATCCTGCCAACTCTTGAAGTGACAATAAGCTACCACAGAGACAACACAATCTGCTCATAGATTCATTTCCCTTCCTCCTAAAGCTCAGTGCTGCTTTAGAAAACAAAACTGCTGTGCAGTGAACTTAATCAAATGCTACTGGGCAGAAGACGTTTGTTGTTCTTTTTCCTCCATATTCCTACTAAGAACGGGAGCCTCCAGTGACCTAAGGCTGGCAAGTACCGTCGGATCCTTAGGTAGTCATAGTGGGCAGATGCAGCCAAAAAGAAAATGATCATCAGAATTTTACTGTTGCTACCGAAAATTACAGTATTTCCCTTTTCTAAACAGAAGAGGGAGAATTGGTCACAGCCTGTTCCTCCATTTTCTCTTTCAAGAGCAACCTTTTTTTTATTCTCAGATGCTACAGCTGTGTGGAGAGAGTTGAGCAAGGGGGAGGGTTATTATTGCTTTGGTGCATTGCATTAAATGGAAGATAGAAAAACATGGGAAATAGTATCTTTGCTATCTAATAGTAACATATTTGATAGTATATTCAACAGCTTTGCCTGTCTCACAGCCCCAGGCAAAAACATACCCCTTTCCCTGCTGTTCCTTCATTTCATGCTATAATGCTTCCAATTCTTCTAAAAAGAATTATGTACATTATCTACCTGTTGCACACAATCTCCTTCCTATGGCCACTCACAACCTTTGCAGATGTTGCTCCATCATTATCAGTAAATGCTGGTGTCATTTGGTTCAGGGAGGAAATAGCATCTGGGAAAATTGCCTTGATGATGAATCAAAAAAAGAAGGCAAGTTCTTCTTGATAAATACTATCTAAAAGGATGGCAGGGAGCTAGAAAAAACCTGAAGGAAATAATATGTGAAACGAAGGAATGAGGTTTTCTAGATTTGATTATTATTTTTTTTACTATGCTGTATAGTTTTGTCTTCATGGTTTCATTTAATTAATCGAATACAGTTCTATTTTGCCCATCTGCATCTCTGAATGTGTCCTCTTGACATTGCTTTCTTGATGTTCCACTACCATTTCAGCCTGATGAAACTTCAAACATCTCAGCTTTTCTTCCCCATTCCTGCCAACCACTCCTCTCTCCTATCCTTGTACAAAAAAGCAGTTCCCTTTCTTCTCTGAATTTACTGAACAACCACATTTTTTCTCATGCCAGGTCCTTCCTGACAGTCCCCTTTATGATAGTTTGTGGAATCCAAATGAATGTGGAAAACACAGAGATCGCTTCACGACAACCGCAGAATTTTATGACTTCAGAACTCATTCTTTCCCTGATGTCAAAGTATTAAGCTCACCTAAATTTAACTACTTATGGGCATGATCCTGTCATATCTCTGCTACCACAGAGCTCACACTCTCTGTGCATCCTCATCACTTCTCAAAGGTCAAAGACCCGGTCAGGATAAAGTCCCTCACATCGCTTTCTTAACCAACCCCTTATTTTCACTGTGTTTCCCCCCACAAAACCATCTTTCTGACCACTGACACGTACTAAATGTATTAAACAAACTACATGAAAGTATCAGGATCCTAAAACAAGAATCCTTTGAGAAAAGAGATGCACATTTACAAAAGGATTTAAAATAAAAATCCTTTTCTCATACACTGAGCAAAATACGTAAAAACTATCCAGGGAGAATCCCACTGCCAGCAAGGACACTGACAAGTTACTAAGCATTGCCATCCCAGTGGGATGGTGCAGGCTCATCCCTGGATAACATAAAGCACTGCTCAATAGTCTGACTTTGAATGATGCAGATTCATACCTCATGGACTTTTTTTGCACAGAAATGTGCTGCGTTAAATCCTGGGATGAAATGTATTCCTCAAAATGAAAACGTGGAAAATCCCTGCTAAATGCCAAGCCTGAAGCAGCCATGATTCAAAGGGACAACTTGAGCAGAACAGGTGCCAAGGATGTCTGTTCTCTGGATTGATATACAAACTAAGATTCTTCTAAACCATTAGACGTTCCCCTTGTCTTATGTGAGCAGACAGTGAGTCGAGTTCAATGTATCTCATCTCCATCTGGAAACTCTACAGGCAAGGATATCTTCTCTATCGAGCTTTTGAATAGAATTAGTTTTCATCCAGCTGAAATCTTTGCTCTGAAGCTGTACAATCCCTGCTTTCCTCCTTCATAAGTCAAGTTTATGCCTTTTCCATGTGGTTTTGATATACTTGCAGAACTGGAGACTAAGGAAAAAACAGCCTAATGCCTCAAGGAAAGCACCACCAATTAAAGAACTTACACAAAACATTATTCTCAATATCACCAGGTACTGTGCTCTGCATTGTTGCTCCTCTTACCTATGACCTTTCATAAATGATATCAGATGGTGTTTGCCTTATCCAATAGCCTGTACCATTGTTCAAGGCATGCATGCACATACATAACAGAAGAAAATAACAAATTTGGTACAGATTTACTGATCTGTTTCTGCAGTCTCCTTTCTAAATTATATTTATGCATTCTCATTTCAAGTTTCTTTAAATATGAATATTACTGACTATTTCTCTCGTTACTATGATGGACACAATCTAAAAACCTAGATAAAAGTATGTCATAATTTCAGTTCTGGTTATAAATTTTATGGGTTGAGTTGCAAGTGATTGAAGATCTTAACAAGCATGCCCAAGAAAACCTGACTGCAAATGAAGTTATCTTTATTTTATTTTCTCCATAAAGAGAAGGTTTAGCTAAGCATATTGCTCAGAGATACACAAAGCACAGCGGCTTGTTTTGGGCTGCTGCCATTCAGCTTCATGCTGCATCCCCATCTACAGTCATTAATCTTTTACCACCAGGAACACAATTAATCATGTTTGATTTTTTTTTTTTTTTTCCCCCCAGAGGAAAAAGACAAAAATCATAGTAATTTTTATAGAAAACACTCCAAGGTACTCCATTGATAAGAGTAATTTTTCTTCTCAGTACACACTAATAGATTTGCTCACTGAAACCTGCTTGTCTTTACAATATACAAAAATGCAGTAATCTAAAATACATGTAGAAAAAACACATGAAGCAGCAGTCTATCTAGTTGTGCAGTATAAGGCAATAAATGTCCTTTTACTGATAGCTGGACCATAAAGAAAGAACAGAGAGAGCTGAGAAAAAGGTGTTTATTTTACTTCAGAGGTTATTTTCAGGTGGAAACATCTTTCCATCTAGCTCACAACACAAAATCTTTGCCTAAACTATGATAAAAGTTTTCATTCAAAACTTACTAAACCCAAAAATCTTACCAACTTTGATGGCAGTTTCACTTGAGCTAGTGTATGTTACTTGTGGATATAAAAAAAAATAATCTATGAAAGTATGCAAACCGATGTCATCCCCTCACCCCCAGCTTCACTCACATCCTAGGTCAGAAAAGCCCATTGCCAGTTGTATAAAAATCTCACTCATACTGTTCTCAGCCTTTTAGGTCTGAGAACTTACTTGAGCTCAGCCCTCATTAAGGTCAGGAAGAGTTCTGCCTGAATACAAACAATGATCCATCCACCTTCCATCCCTTCAAAATATGACACTTGCCACATGGCTTCATATACATCTTCATTGTTTTCCTCAGACATTTTATAACCTAGTAATTAAATGTCACAAGCTTTTCTCTTTCTTCTTTTCTTTGTTTTTATGAGACACACAGAAGACAGCTATAGGCTGCCCCCCTTTTTTTTTCTTTTTCTTTTTTTTTTTTTCTTTTTCTTTCTTAATCCATAAGATAATTGGCTTTCTGGAGAACTAACTGAATTTTCCAAATTTAATTTTAAAAGATGCTCCATAATATCCATTACAGCAAACACTGTCCTGCAGATTCGATTAGTAGGCTCTCTGGACCTGCTTATTTCTGAATTGAAAGTGCAGTACAGCCTGGATAAATGAATTACCTGAGCAGCGGAACTTCTTGCTCTTGATCTGGCTGATTCGTTTGTTGGCAAGGCGACGCGGATTGCTGCATCGAGCGCCGCTGGTTTCTATCGGATTATCCTGCAGGTAATCAGCCAGCCACTTCAAATGGCAGTCGCACACAAATGGATTCTGAGCTAAATGTCTGTGAGAAGGATGGGATGTTTAATCAGAAGTGACCTGTGACACTGTACTCCATCACTGTTTTTCACAAACGCAAACCTGAAGAGTAGAGTAATTGAATAAGCTTCCAAAAACCCAGGCCTGGCGGAAACCACACGGAGCTGCACACGAATGGGAGAATTCTGTGAGCTATCACATTTCGTAGCTCATTAAGCCTGCTGCAAGTCCTTTCACAGAGGAAACAAAAATTAAGATAGCAAAGCCCGCTTTAAAGGACACAGACCTCCTGTCTACAAAGTCCAATGTTTTCTCCTGAGAGCTTGGTATGCTGCCTTTGAGAGAAATGCACCTTTTTAGATGCACCTGACCTGAAGACCATTTTGTATCACGGTCAAAAAGAAATTTTATTGGCAGGTTCAGTTTCCTGGGATCAAAATGTGAACTAGTAAAGTGCCTTGGATCTGTGGGCAAAGCCAGAAGTGATCCAGGGGTCTTTTCTCAACAGTGAAAGTGATATTTGCATATACTCATCATGTGTAATACTATTTCCCTTATAAGCGTTTTTTCCTGGAGCAAAAATTTTTACTTTTGAGACTGAGGTCTTTCTGCAAGGTAGAACTTGATTCTTCACCAATTTCCACACAGTTGGAAAGAGGTATGATAGCATTGATTTTAACTGGATATTTAGACTTCGTTAGTGGAAATTTGCTGGAACATCTTAGAGAGAAACAGCATTTCTCTGCTGCTGTCATGATTTATCCTGCTTGACAAAGTTGAGCACTATATCAGGAGAGTTTGTCAGGTTTTTCTCAGAGACTGATTCTGATCTCAGTTAAGTTAACTGAGGGACTTCCCTCTAACTTCCAAGGGAGCAGGACACAGCTCTCCAAAAACTGAAAGACAGTTTAAAAAAAGACAGATGTTTAAATTTAGTTTGGACAGAGGTGTAAAGTTATAGTCTCACAAGAACTCTGCTCTGTTACTGTTAGTGTGTTTTTTCCACCTGTAGAAACTTCTTTTCTGTTTGCAGTTATATTTATGAACTGTCACTTAACAGAATAAGCATAAAATACAACAGGGCAAGGGCTGTCAAGGAGTGGGAAGTGAAAGCATACATAGCAGAAAGTGCCTGAAGAAACTACAGATTACTGTTGTAGTAGAGCCATTCCTGGTGTGAAAGGTCCAGAGAACAAGCAAGCATGCAAAGACAGGATATGGAACTGGTTTTGTAGCTCTAGAAAAAAGGCAGAAAATGGCAATCACTTGGAGTACTAAAAATGGGAGAACGAATCAAAATATTTCATGAAAAAGTGTCTCGGTGTGAAGCAACAAGTTCATTCCAAGTAACAGCCACCAGGAGTGCCAATAAAACCCAATGGAAACCAAGGAGAAATTTTTTATACCTTACAGGTGTTGCCTGTTGTTTAACTTGACACATCTTATCTATCTCTGTAAATGAACCTTCTCTGTTGCCCTTGTTTACATGTATACCTACGTACTTATACAGCATGTTGCAGCAGAAGAAAGCACAGTAGAGGTGGGGGGGCAGGACAGGGGGGTTATACATGATTATTCTAATACCTTAATGGTTTGCAGCAATACATACTGGCCAGAGAGCTGCTGGAAATTAAGGTTGTGCTTGTGGCTGCCTGAGGAGGTAGCAGGAACCCCACTGCTAGAAAACATCCCTATTAGTTCATTTTTGTACGAATTAAAACATTTATAAAACTAATTTGGCCAATGCATTTCCAGTATTAAAATATATATGTGCATGTGTATATATGCATTTCCAGTACTATAATATGTGCGTGTACATACATATATAACGTGCATATATATTCAGCATGTGTATATACACATAAACATACATATTTTAATACTGGAAATGCATATACTTACATACTATATAAACACACAGAACCTTATATCTATATATGCACACACAAATATATATAAACACACATACAATATTGGGTGAGGGGTTTCTTCCTTGGTTTTCAATTATATCAGGCTGTCAACTCCAGCTCCGAAGGAGTACTATTTATCTTATTATTTTACTACTCACTTTAGGATGAAACCTTCTTCTGTAAAATATTGAGTCATTTCTATACTTTTGTTTCCAACTTTGCTTCTGATCCCTCTTCTCCTAATGCCTCCAATCCAAAGACTCTCAGAAAATGTTTAGTGTATTTTCTTAATGGATCAAATAATACAATGTGTCATTTCTCTTAAATGGAATGTCAGCTGAAATATGGTTTCAGAAGTCATGAACTGTACAGCAGGACTCAGACCCAGTAAGGAGAGATGCCAACTCACTAGCTCATAAAAAACTGTTAGGCAATACTTCCAACAGAATTTGTTGTTCATATATTGTGCAGAGTCAAATTTATGTATAAACTTCCCAACAAACAGTATGAATGAATTACTCTGGGAGCTTAATACACTTAGGACATTTATGTCACTATGGACAGGCTGTATTGAGAGCTGGCTGTGCTGAATTGATGCAACACTTCTTTTTCTTGCTCCTTTTATTTTGGCCAGAAAAGGAGGGGCTACTACCTTGGGGTGTCTTCCAAATTGTCTTAATGTCAGATGCAAAGCTTTTGCAAAGACAGGCAACATCTCTGGGGGAAAAAGAGAGAGCTGTCATTTATGATATGCCTGCATACTCACAGAGTCTGGATCGATCGGAGAGGTGCAAAGAGCCCCTTGCTGATGGTCTGCAGTTTGTTGTCATAAAGAGATAGCAGTTTGAGATTATGCAGACCTTGGAACGTGTTTACCCTCAGGCAGTTGATCTTATTGGCATTGAGAAGCCTGAAAACAGAGGAAAGGTTTAAAATTCATTAATCTTCTAATAATCAAATAAAGATAGACTGAACTTTGGGGTTAAATCTGAAAAAATATTAACCCAGTCACCAAAGCCAACCCACATATAAAGGTCTTCATTTGCCTGTTGCATTAAAAATGTTACATGTTACACAGTCAACATTAGTACTCTCATAGCTGGGGAATATGCAGACATATAACAGTGCTAGCAATTTTAAAATACTTTAAAGATTTTTTGGTTTATTTTGATATGCCCACCCCCCACCATTTGTTCAAAATTCTACACAAATATTTAAAGAAGTCTTCAGCTTAATATACATAGAAATGGCAAATACTCCCTCACCTTGCTATTCCATGCACACAGTCATACACAAAGCCCACAACGAGAAGAACCTTTCTTTCCAATTTTCTCTACCGGCAGCTGTCTTAAGTCTAACTGAAATTCTGGGAGTTTGACATCTTTTGATAAGCAGTGCGGGGTTAATTTGATCATGGAAGGAAAGAAAATGTGATTCGCCTCAGAGACAAGAAGAGAAGTGTAAGGTCTGGACTAAAACTTTCTCAAAAGCAAGCTCACTTCATACCTAAGGATAGCCAAGCAGTGGATCAGGTTGCTCAGAGGAGTTGTGCAGTCTCCGTTGTTGGAGGTTTTCAAGACAATACCGAATAAAGCAATGAGCAACCTCCTCTGACCTAATAAGGTGGCTCTGCTTTGAGCAAGGGGCCTCCAGCCTCATTGGCTAGTGATCACCTGAGGCCCCTTCCAACCTCCATCAACCTGCTCCATTCCAGTCACTCCAGAGTCCTGTGCAGTTGTTGAAAAGCACCATAAAGGCAGTTTACATCCTTTTATATATGTACATATATATATATAGCACATCTACACAGCAACCAGTTGGCAGAACTAATCAGTTCAGACAGAAAATCTTGGACAGTACTTGTGCAAGGTCTCTCCGATTATCCAGCCAGAGTTCTGTCACATGAACGAGTACAGACAATCCCAACAACAAGCTGGATCTCCCTCTGAGACAATCAAACACGAGAACACTTAAAATGCCATTGTCTTCTGCATATTTGGTATTTTACACTTAGAAGGAAAACAGTCTGGAAATGACCTATTGTTCTTTCAAAAGCCAAAATCCACATCTTTTGACTACTACCAGCCTGAGAAAAATGGTACATTACAAAGAATATACGCAGTTTTCTTGGTCACAAAATTCTTGCTACTTTGGCAATGAATTTGAAGGGCTTAATATTGCAATGCTGTGGCTCTCTATGAGGTACCACACTAAATCAGAAGTGTGTTTATAGGCAAAAAAGGAAGAGACATCCTCCATTCCTCAGCAAACAAATACACCAACTTAAAACACACCTCTAACAGCACAGGGAGCTTCCATTTTCAGCTGCACATACACCACTATAGACAACTTGGCAACATATCAGGGAAGAAATGCACGCTTGTTAGCTGCATATGATGCTTTTCCTCTTGAGAAGGTGCTTCCTCTGCATAGCACCCTCCCTTTGTGTTGCTGAAACCTTTGGAACATTGTACACTCGTTACAGCTCCTACTGTCATTTTGGCAGAGCCTCATTACTGCAGTAAACGGCAACAGTAATTGTGATATATAAAAGGTGGACCCATACACGAGTAAAGCCCTTTTCTCAAGGAGAACAGAAATGCAGTGCTTTGCAATGAGAGCGTGTTAGAGCAGAACTCACTTCCCTAGCCTACAGAAAAGCCAATATCAATTTACCTGAATTTTCTTCTTTATATGTTGTGGAAAATGAAGATTTACATTAGCTAAGACAAAGTCCCATAGAAGGCAATGATGGATAAATGAGGTTACATTTTTGCATGAACTAGTAGCTAAAATAATTTTATGAAATCATAAGCAGCCCTAGTATGACCCTTCTGGAATCTCTATTTCTGTGACTGATAATTATGTGACTCCTAATCCACACGGATGTTAATTCCACCAGAACTAACAGGGTAATTTTCATATTAGGCTACAGGAACCGTTCCTCCCATGCATTCAACTTCTGAGGTTTTGGTCCAACAGCAAACATCAATGTCATCTCTTACTACTTGCTTTTTACAGCCATTCATATGTCCAAGCCAAAGCAATTTTCATTTTCTCTCACATCTTCTGCATTATGCATTTCTCTTTCAAGCTTGTGCATTATCTTTTCCATAAAGAACAGGTTAACAAGTTACTAGAAGGCAGAATCAGCTATTGAGTTTTGAACAATATCCCCAGTCGCGCACCTAGGCCTTACAAATCCTCTCTTTTCAACCCTCTGCGCTTGTGCACTGGTCCCACATTGTTTTTAGGTAATGCACATTAGCTTAGATTGGTCGTTCCATGACAGAGGCTTGGTACCTAAGTATAGAGGAAAAAACCTGAAAGCAAGGGTGTACTCAAATTCCTTTTGCTAGATGCTGTTCTTTTTTTTTTTTTTCCTAATAGTAATATTTTATGTTGCAAGCAGTATTTGTAACAAAGCATAAAGCAAAAATGAAAATAATCTTAGTAATAAGAGAATTTACAACTGAGCTACAGTTGTATTTGTCTATGTGGACAACCAGCACATCTTTTTGTGATGCTTAAGAAGTGCCCACACAGCAGAGCTGCATTGTGCAGATGCTCTTCGCTCCTGTGCGAAGAGCGGGCTTGAAGTCTAACCATCATTGCTCCCACTTAACAAAACCGCAGAGCAAAGCTGACCTAGAACTGCAGTGAATACACAGGATTTGAATTAATTCTCTGATTAGTGTCCACAAAACATGAATAAACCCAATGCTGGAAATTAGAATTTACAATGTGACAAGTCTTCCTGGCATGGATTTTCAGACTAGATTCATGGTGATACAATCTATGACATTTTGGTAAGAGCCAAATAGCAAAAATGAGAGAAACTGATCCTATACATAGCCACAAATACAGAGGCACACTCTCTGTAAGCAAAGAAAGTAATTTGGAACAGAAAAATGCTCGTGCAGACTGTTTGGAAGCGGGAATTCAGGAACTACACAGCTTTTCTGAGGTGACACCCCCTATTCTGTATATCATTTATGCAACATACGTGCAGTACCTAAATGTAAGCATGCCTAACCGTAATACAGGTGTGGCCATACTCT